AGGGCCTCTATCCAATCAAGCTTATGTAAGTTATGTAATAACAGTAAGCGTCGATTTTCTTAATATACTTTTTATCGCACGCACAATAAAAGTTGTGCGCAATCAACAACGCTTAGTATATTTTGACAGGCACTAGTTATGCTTGCAATTTTCTTCTATGAACTGCTTGTAAGCAAAAATTACTTTCAACAGTAAAATAAACACAGAAAAATAGAAAACGGCATTATAGTAGTCAGGACATTTTTGCCGTTCGCTATTCGCTTTAAACGTGGTGCTTAATTTCTTTAGTAATGAATGAATGATTTTACTGACCTATGTATTTTAACCATTGCTTTGTTTACAAAGTGATCGTCTACTAGCATCCGTTATAATATCCTTGAAAATTCTACATTTGGAACCGCGTGATTACTAGAAAACCAAACTCTCTCTTGTGTTAATTGCGAAATAACTCAAAAAAAAGGACAAGAGGCAGCACGAAAATTCTCGGAGGGTCTGGGTTACACTTAGCGTACACTTATGGAAACGTTACACAGTTTTAAATGTGTATAAGCATTTACATAGTAAGTAACCCGTAATTTCTGACATTTTTTTTAAACAAAGTATTATGCGTAATCACCAAACATTGTTTATGGTCTCTTCTTGCCAACATCTTGACTTAATCATGAAGGTAACCCATGCATGACAGTTATTTTCTAAATATATTTTCTTTCTACTGTTTGGAATATTTGCTTCAAATGTGAGCTTATAAGCAAAAAATAAATGTAAGATAAGTATATATCGTCAATGAAAATATAAAAGCCATCGCGATCTAGGTGCTTGTACTGTCCGCAGAAGAAGTCTGGTATAGCTTTCGTTGTTTGAAACGTAATTTTGCTTCTGTGCTTGAAAATATATATGCATTTAAAATTGCATCAGTCGGCTTAACTGAAGCTTCAGCACCAGTGTGACGTCATTGCGTATGTAAAACTTGACGTCCCCTTCTCGTTGCAATTCTGATGATGACGTCAATGAACTCGAAGATGGTAAGTAAACTGCATCCCAAGAATAAACCCATGTTACCTCCGATTTCACCTAAAAACATACAGGAAGCTGGGTTATATGGAACAATGAAATTCAGACTTTATTTCTTTTAAAGAATAACAATAACATGGAGGAAAAAGCATAACTTTACTCTGCTGAATAGTTAAGAAATAGGTGGAACATTTTTACCGAACAATGAGACGCTGTCATAAGCTGGTTGCTGTTCCTGCATCTCAAAGCTCAATGATTTGAATCCAACTTCTACAAGTACAAGGTTATCACTGAAAAATATGTAGGCAGTGTAAAAAAAAAAAAGAACATTAACATTGCATATTGAGGTCAGGCGCTTTTGAAATATAATATACACTTAATGTCAAATGCCGAGGAAACAGTTAGTTTTTTTTTTTACCGAAACCTGGTGTTTCCCGAGACGAAGTCGATGGAAACATCAGGACTCGAGGGAAAACAAAACTAACTGGTTTCCCGAGGGACCTGGCATTAAGTGTTTTGTTATATTTCTAGACTTTCACTTCAACGTACTTCAACAGCAACAAAAGAATACGAAACTGAATGAATGATTTACACAGTACTTTCCTTATACTATCTGTATCTTTTTCCTCCTCTAGCTGCTGTTTCTCTCATGGCATAACTTGAAAATCGTTGCTTTTTAGCTTGAGGCTTCATGTTTGTGTTGTGTTTATTCACGAAAAAGAAAACTGGCAGTGTTTTTCCTGCCTTCTGTCACGCCACTTTCCACCATGCATGTATCCCGAGCGGGGTACATTGCTTAATGTATCACGATCGGGATACATTTGATTTTAATCAAGCCCACGTGACCAAGAATCAGCCAATGGCTGTCCCTGTGTAGTTGAGTGAAAGTCTAGGAATATAACAATCTTATTTAAATGAATGTATTATTTTCTCCATTCCATCAGACAATAACATAAATGTTTTTGTGGATAACAGAAACTTGCGGTTGAGAAATGAGATCAAGGCCAACTGACTGAAGAGAGGCCTTTTAGCTTTACACAAGTTACCAAGAGATTTAGAGTAACGTTTACGGCAAAAGGGAAACGTAAATTTGTACCACATAACTAAGTTTTCTCTTAGCTTGTTCTTTATACTGTTCATTATATTACTTCTACCACAAAAGTAGCAGCTTCATGTTACTTTTGTCTATACGGTTTTGGACTCTCTTTGACTGCACGTTTTCTATTTTGAGAATTTCTCAACTTGAATCTGACGTTTGCCGTATATGTCACTATCTATCTGATATCATCGTATAAGAGCTCGTATAACTAATCTCTGAGACACAATTTGAAGCAGTGTGCATCCTTCTAGCGTCCAAAACTTCACATTTATGGAACTTCAATAGCGATTGCTAGCAATTTAGGCCCAATACGTTTTGTCAGTGTCCGAGAAATGGCTTGTGAAGGTTTGTTATTCGCCCTGATGACGCAATTACTAATTACCTTATATATTCTGCTTCACCATAGTAATCAGTGAGCACCTGGGCGGTGCCAGGATCTGGAAACTTTGAGTGCGATACTTCCGCGCTGTATTTTATCTGATAACAAGGAACTGTGCATCCACAAGACTCCACATCCACATATGCTAAATTGAAATATTGAATTCACTTCAAAATCAGCTACTTTTGCTGTGAACCTCATTAATTGTTCCCCCAAAAGGCCTGTCTACACAATGTAAATTCTTGTTATAAGACGGGTTCAAAGTAACCTTGAGCTACTGATAGATGCCCTCTTGCAGCAATTATTTCGTTCACGAGTTTTTTTAAAAAACAACAACAAAAACAACCAATAATTAGTACTAGAAATACCTTATCACAAAACTCTCGCGAAGCTAAAAAGGGTCAGCAATGAGAATAAACAGCAACAAGCCAAAGAGTAAAATACGATGGAAAAAAAAAATGAAAGTAGCCCCGCCCGGATTGGAAACTGCACCCCAACTTCCTCCAGCGAAAAAAAGCGAGGCTTCATACCACTGGGCCATGCAACTACTGCGCCGAACGCACTGGTCTTCTTCTTCACTGCTCTCGCTGAAGTTCAGGTCACCGTTCTTTCGGTGTTAAATCTTCCACGGCAAGGACTGTCCAGCCACTTGTCCAATCGGGCACTGTTGTGTTTGCAGCCCGCTGTTATTTACCTCGGAAATACTTGGCGATTCTCTAGGCGAATCGCCAACGTACAGTAAACAGAGGATGAATAAAATGAGCCCAAGTCGGTGGCCGTGTTGCCTGGAAACCCAAACTGCACAATGACGCCATGCTGAATGGCGTCTTTAGGATTTGTTTATGGCTTGTTGCTAGGCAACTGCGGACACTAAACCGATAGAAAGAAAGATTTATGACCAAAGCGAAATCGCAGTCCGCTTGCGATCCTCGCGTGATCCGCGCGCTGCGTGCGCTACAAAATTATAAACTCGCTTCGCGGGAATAATTCTCAAGGCTAAGCTTAGCATGCCATGGATTTGTTTAAGATGCCATTCGCGAGGAAAACGCTGGTTACTTCACTGTCAGCAGCACAAGTTGTTTCAGCTTTTTGTATGCTTCTGTTATCATTTAAACCAAGCTTGGTTCCTTCCAAAACGTTCTTACCTGAGTATTCTGTTCCACAGCTAAGTTCGTCTGGTGTCGTGCAAGCTTGAATCCCAGGGGAACCTCAAGGGAAACGAGAAAAACATTATTTTTCAGTGTGACATGCCTTATTTAAAAATAATGTTAAACTGTAAAATGGAATGGTTTGATCGCTTACCGATGGAAACTGCTATGCACTGCATAATTTAAAAAATAGCTGGTACCTTTGTATCCAGTTGGTCTACAACTACACATCGTTAGGATCTTTTCATTCTCGCACTCATGCATGCAGCCTTCTATTGTATATTGGGTGAATGTTTTCAATCTTCCATTAGAGCAATTAGTGGCGTATGGCTTTTCCAGGTTCTTAAACTGAAAAACAGTAACAAGTAAAGTCATAGATCGATGGTCTGTGAAGCAAGTGGGCTTGGTAAGAAGATACATGAATGGAATTTAGTGCTTTACGTAAACAGCTTTTATGAACCGCAGCATAACTGAAAGAAAAAAAAAATTTAGAAATGAAATAGAAATTCGCTTGGCGCGCCTCTCACTTTCATTCTATGAACTGACGTATTTTTTTTTAGCAAGAGAAGCTTGTCGTTCACGGATGGTAATCTACAAACATTGCCCCACCTGCAGCAGAAAAGCACGAAGTGCCTCGAAACTGATCAAAGTGTGCAAAGGGAAGGTGGGGAAATTTTAACATATCTGGAGTGGATTCACGGAGTCACCAATTTGGCTGATTAAGCTGCGAACATATGAAGAATTAATGGCGGGTTACCTTTGGATTTTTAGACGATTTTAAGTTGTGTCAACCTCACTAGCGTAGAGGGTGACTTCAGATGAGCTACAGAAAGTAACAAACAAAAACACTGCAAAAACACGTGAAATGATCCTTGTGTTAACACAGTAAAATGAGCCCCTCATGTAGTGTAAAAACCCTACCCTCTTTTCTGATAAAGCTATGCCAACATGTTGTCCTGGTCCAACGTTGATTCCTTCCCATTCATCGATATACTCGCCTTGTCCATGAACGAGAACCTTGAATCCCACCGACAACTTTCCCAAAAAATACTCTTGTGTCTGTGCATCAAGAAGGATTTTCAATCCTGATGACAGTCCACCATAGTCTACAGTTTTTATCTCAGTACCAGTATCCGCCGAGTTGAAGGTATGACACATTCCCCAAGCTGTCACTCGGGGAGAAAATTCAGTTGCTGAGCATGGTGATTCTGCCCAGCCAAACGAGCACATAGGTCCTAAAAGATCCGTAATATTTTGCGAGTAGTAACGATAAAAGGATTCAACATCTGGATGATGACGAGCACGATTCATTGTATTCCAGATGTCTTGCTTGTATTGATTTGTACAATTTGGTATGAGGGAGATGTACTGCGAATATTCAGATGGAGTGCAACAACAAAGCATAGCCAACCCACAGGGACGATCACCACGAACTTCTGCAGTTACAGCGCATGAGCTGATGTTTAAGCCGCTGGATGTAAAAAGTGGATCGTCATCTCTCATGAACAATTTGCTTTTAGCGAACAAGTTAAGAGGGCATATTGTAATGGCAGGAAAAACCATTTTGTTGAGTCTTGTTGTATTTATAACGGTGGTAATTGGACGACTGTAAAATTTATTAAAAGCACTGTATACTAGGAATAAATAGTAACCTCCTGAGGCCAGTAGTAACACAAACCAAATTAGGCGTATGACAAAATGACGTTTCATAAACACATAACGGATTCCATGCAGTGTCGTGTCCTCCGTAAATTCTCTCCACATCTCTAATGATTTCCTCTTGTCACCGTTATTATAATTGTGAACAGTATGTCTTGGCATTTCAGTCATCCATCCATCTCTTTTAACCTCCATTTTGGCTGTGCTTGGTCCTTGCTTGATTTCCCTGATGTAAAAATTGTAAAATGGCGGCAAATTTAGTTGTTTTTTTTGTAAATTGCCGCTAGCTTTCTTCGTAGGCAACTCAACGGATATAGGTAGAGAGATTTACTGCTGGTGAAGAGAAAAAAGGGGGAGCAGGGGTTGGCGGCCGGCAGAAGTTGAGAAAACTTTAACCTCCCCTCTCACCTTCAATTGCTGAAATCCTCAAAATTTTCTTGCCTGATAGTTAAGTGAACTAGCGAAGGAAATTTGGAATGAGTTACATTTTTTATTTAAACAAAAGCTCATTCAAGTCAATTTAGAGTACAAAAAACTAAAAATGAAAAAGAATTAAGAAGTGGAAATTTTAGTTCATCAAACGACAATACCCTTGATTTATCTAAAGCCATCGTGGCTTTCAGTTCCTGGTACAAGAAGGAGCGCTGCAAATTTGATACTTTTGCAATTATGAATGAACTTACCGAAAAAACGGCGCAACTGCAATCTCAGGAAATAAACATATCAAGTTCTGATAGGTTCCTTGAAGAAGTCAACTTATTTGCTTGTGAGAGCAGCCTTAATCTAGTGACATAAATAATGATAAAAAATATACATTACATGTTAAGAATTTTAGCTCTTTAGATGAGACCAATTTCATTTCATTTGCCGGCATTATACAAGGCTTGAAAGACTCAGTATGATAACGAATTTTAATGAATGTGACAATTTTCCAACATTTGCTCTTATTATCGCCGAAGGCCTAGCCACCGTACTAATAGATAATAAACGTTTATATTTCCGCACAGCATTCGTTTCTTTTTGTGTAATGAAAACTAATATTTTCTAATTTCCTGTATGTCTTAAAGAGGACTTCTAGCTATCAATTAACGGGGTAGAAAAATCGCATACATGTGCAAATAATTAAAATTATTTGATTTATTTGATGTGTTTATATACAGTCATAGAGTATATCTTCCATTAAACTGTATTGCTTACTGTATAAATCGAATCACTGATTGACGAACTTCATAATTTCATCTTTACGTTCACTAGCTAACTAAACTGAAAAAAAGAGAAGATAACTGTTTACCTGAATATACAAAATTCGAGCGGGTCGACTTTTGCAACGTCACAGGAAAATGTTAGATAAAATATTAAATAATAATTGAAATTACAAGAAACCCCTGAGTTTCCATTTTCTCTATTATTTTATCCGGGTTATTTTGGAATACTGTCAGTTATTATGATTATATAATCGATTGGGGGACTTACGATGGTTTCCCAATTGATTTGCAAACAACAGTGCTTGAATTTATAGGAACTGGACGTGATGTGCTGCTTATACTGCTACTATCAAAATTCTTATTTTCGGTTTTATAAGGTAGCTATACGTACCTACTTGCTTATAGGTCGAGTAGATAATCGACAAACTTTTTTTTTATCCTCTGCAGTTTTCTTTATACTTGGTTTAGATAACTAACTAATCTGATCTAGGGATGTCAGTCACCGATCTCCTAACTTTTACCGTTGATTAACAATTAGAAGGAAACTGTTGTTATCCCATAATTAAACTGCTGGTCAGGAGAAAAATGATTAAGATCAGAAAATCGAAATTTGTATTCATCTGTTGGTAAATGCATAGAAGTTAAATTGTGAAGCAGTAAATGGGTTTCAGTTTGAATTTTTTTCAGTTTAAATTTTCTGAATTCAGGAAGTTAGTAATGAGGTTCAACAACGAACAACAATACTTCCAATTCAGCTTTTAGACTGAATGTTATCAGTAAAATCAGAGGTGCCAATGTCATACTTACATTTACAGCTGTTCTCCCGTGAACTATTGCTCTACAGGTCAGTGAATTTTCGTTCAATTTTTTGTGATAAGTGTTGGCTAAAAAAAAATCAAAATTGCTTGTTCGTGAATAAACCTACCTCACCTATGCTTTTATTTAAATAAGAGCCGTCCGAGGTCAAAATTTTTTCAAGCAAACCATGTATCTTTGGCAACATCATAGGCCCCACTATTTAGTTTGGGGGGGGGGAGCTGTTTGGGCACAGCACCCCCCCACTTTTGTAGAATAATAATTAATTAACTTTCTTTTATTTTACCACGGTCAACTCATTAGGACTTAATACACTATTTTGGGAAGTTCAAGTAAACGTCGACTCGTCCGGTTGGATTGGGACATTCCATTTTTTTTTTATTATCCCATGGAGTTGTTGTTGTCGGCAACATTGAAGATTGCATATGAGGGGTCCAAAAATGGAATGGAAAAAAAATGGAATGTCCAATTTTATTTTCAGCCCACCCACGTTATATTCGCTCCGTCGCCGCTGATTTACGTATAAAGCCAAAATAATAATTATTTTCTGAAGTTAGTGCAATCACTATTATTTAACTAATGACATTTCATGATTATATGACTATCATTTGTGGTAGCTTACCTATGATGCCCTACATGTAGTGCTTGTAGAGATCATGAATAATATTTCTTTCCACTTATAGCATAATTTCCTCTCTGTAGTCGAATATTTAGCTAGGCCTTCGGGTAATTCTGGTTTACAGCTATTTCTCAATGCATGTTTCCTCAGCTGGCTTCTTATAATAGAGAAACATTGCGAATTTTAATAATCAATAATCTTCTTACTTTAATGCTACTGATAATCGAATTGTCCTTGCACAAAAATAGTTTCAAAACGTTTAACTATAACAAAGTTTAGACTTTAAGCTTGAAGAACGATTAATTTCTACTCTATGTCATTAAGTATGAATTTTAAATAATAGCGGCCAAAAATGGTGGCCATTTTGAATTATGTCACAGACACCGCCCTCATACAGCTCATTTTAGTGTATCTAAGAAGGCCGTTTACAGTGCCGCTTCATCTTTCCAGAATATTGTAATACATGAAAATCCCGGGAGTTTTCAACCGACCTCCCCGGGACCTTTCACTGTGGTGGGGCATGAATTAGTTTGAACGTTCGAGGGCTAAAATGGTGCCTGATTGAAATAATTATAATAAAAAAAACACGATGATAAAAATTACGAACCACGACCAATGCGGGACGCGTTGATGCATTGTTATCCTCTATTTAAAGGCGCCGTACAGATGTCATAATTAATGGCCTACCTTTTTAGCGAAGTTTAATAATAGTAAAAAAAAAACGACAGTAATAATGACTTCTTATTATATGGCTACAACAGTACGCGCACTCTGATGGGCTGTTTTCTTGTAATGACTGGACATTACTAGCTAGGTATCAAACACATATACCATCTGTGTTTAACTTGATAGTGGACATCCTTATGGACATCCATGCTATGGTCAATTGACAGCTGTCAAAAAGGTATCCGCTGACCAGTGTCGCCTAACTGTATTGCAGCCTCAACTGTACAACTCTGTTGAGGTGACGAGGTTTTTGTAAAGTTATCCGTTGACCAGCTGTTGGTTTTAATTAATCACAGGCTCAGTTACGCTATTACCGTAACTGTGACTATTCTTAAATCGTAACTACGTATGCTGATTTTGATTAGGGATTGTTTAATTTGGAGAGCTCAAATTAATTAAAAAACCGACAGCCTAGCGAACGTCATGTACTTCAAGCTACATTACAGAACCTGCCTCGTTATGATATACATTTCAAATAAGCTAGACAATTCTCACTTTGACTTAATTCTACATTGGCTGCCAACCACAAAACTTTATTTTACATTAAAATCGATAAATCACAAGTACAGACTACCTACAAATATCGAGGCTAATCGAGGTAGGCATGTACACACTATGGAGACGTATCACTTAAACAAATAAATTACAATATTACTACAAAGAAAGTTACATGATAATAAATATGGTATTACAGATTAAATGCAATAATTACTATAAGTAGTATTTTGTCATAAATAAGAGGCTAGAGGAAGGATAACAAAACGTAGGATTACTGGCTTACGAAGTCACAAGCACTTAGAAGATAAATTTTTAATTCTCTTCATTTCATTCAATAACGTATCTATATCAACATAACTGTCAACGTTTAAGGAAGATCTGTTTGGTTGAGAGCAAAAATTAATGCATAATTTACAGATTACCAACTGGAGAGGCACTCAAATCACGTTATCAAAGGAATCATGGCAGGTTAAAATGGAAGAGAAAAAACAAAATACTGGTGAAAATAACTTGCACGATATCGTGCTACAGAACCGGAACACTACTTTTTTTTAAATAAAAAAGAGTCCTCTTTTTCTGTGCAATCAAAAAAGTTTGGATAAAAGCAAAAAAGTAGACAAGTACTCTTTTTTAATTACCTTTCCAGCTTAAGAGGAACTTGCGCTTTAGAAGCCAACGCAGTCATCTCAGAAACATCCCCTTTATTATTTGCTTATACTTCAAAAGGACAGTTTTCGGCAAAGTAAAATTGAAAACATAATTATTATTCCATTTTTCATTATTTATATACCACAATATTTAAACGTTACATCGGCTGTTTACGATCACCTGCTTCTTGTTTAGCCCCCTTACTGGAAATACAACATTTATAATACATGTGGCTATAGAACTGACGAGCGGGAAAATTTTTTTGACACATCGAGCTGACACAGTAAGCTACAGTGCGACAAAAGAGTTCCTTTCTTGTTTTACTCACGAAAGAACTACAAGGAACCTGAACGGGAAACAGCCAACTTGCTCTTTGATCGAAAAGCGTTGCCGTCGATTTTGTGGCCTGGCAGCCATTCATACAGCGTACCATACAAAACAGGTTATGAGTGCATATGTGAGTCTTATTAGTTAATACTACTTAAGGCCGACAATACATGCAACATCAGGCTTACCAACGACTTTAATTTTAACGTGTACCATAGTGTATTATTGTATTTTGTAACGGAAATGTAAAAATGAATAAACATGTCTGTGGAGAATTAAATTTAATTGGCCAAACGACTGACGTCGACTGTTTAAAGCTCGAAAGGGCTTGTTACATTTGTGTTGTTGCTGCGAAAAATAAAATTAAATAAAGAAATAAGTAAAGTAACAACAGGAGCAACACTAGTAGGCGAAAACATTTTGTCGATAAGACAATAAAGAGTCGAGAGAATTGGTAACTTCTAAGGAGGAATTTCTTTTCTCTTTTAAAGATGTAGCATCAAAAGCCAGTTTCCTGGCGGTAAATGTCAGTTGAAAATCTTTGGACTGCTTTTCTTGGAACTCTTGTTTTGATAGTTGACTATGTGTAACTGTTTAACATTGTGTTTAACTCGTATAATTTGCAGAAGGGCGCGTTCCCACTGAATTTATTCGTCACTGATTGTATATAGGAGATGATGGTGATCGAAAAGAAAACATCACCTGAATGTTGGACTACAGAGAGTGAGAGTCAAGGGGAAAAGTTACCCAAAAAGCAAAAGCCCTCAACAGAGACTTGGGAAGAATTTACTGATAGCACAACACTTCATGGTCTCAAGTATGTCTTCAAGAAACGCCATTTCGTGGTTCGTTTGTTTTGGGTTTTGCTCCTTCTCTTCGCACTCACTTACTACGTTATAATAGTTTACAGGGCATTTAGTAAATACTACAGTTATCCCATTAACACTTTGGTGATAACAAAGCAAGATCTTAAAGAAATGGATTTCCCAGCCATAACAATCTGCTCTCACAACTACCTCGCTAAGAGCAAACTGTTTATGAGAGATGACAACCCCCTATTTGCGGCCAGCGGTTTGAATATCACCTTGTGTGACGTCACGAAAAAGGTTCGAGGCAATAAGCCTTGTGGCTTGAGTTTAATTTGTTGCTGCCAGCCACCTCATACAGTAAACATGTCTATCAGTCTACCAAACTGTACAAAAAAATACAGACATGACCTCCTGTCGGCCAAACATCAATCGAACTTCAAATCTGATGTCGAAATTTTCCTGGAGCGTTATAGCCAGGACATAAAATCCCTTGTTGGCCCTTTGTGTACGTTCGGCGGTACCGCATCTTGTTCAGCAGAAAGTTTTGATCCCATTTTCACGCCAACAGGAATGTGTTACACATTCAATTCAGGGAGGAATGGGAAAGTAAAAACAGTGAACAATGGCGGGGTTTCTTCAGGATTGACAATCCTTCTTGATGCTCAGACACCCGAGTATTTTCAAGGAAAGATGTCGGTGGGATTCAAGGTTCTGGTTCACGGACAAGGCGAGTATATCGATGAATGGGAAGGAATCAACGTAGGACCAGGACAACACGCTGTCATAGCTCTCACACAGAAAAAGGTAAGATTTATTTTTTTTAACTTTGTTCAAAGTGTACCAAATTGGCAGGAAAGTTGAATGTCTTTGTTTTCAAATAATTTTGTATCTGATGTCTTATATACTCAAAGTTCATGATGAACACAATAAAAGTAATAACCAAACCAACATAACTCAAGTGACTTGGCCTTTAACTCACTGTTTGCAAAAACATTCTATTTTTTATTTTACAGCATTCTTGCCTCCAAAATTATCCACAGCGTCTTCTTGGCTACAGAAATGGACGAAATAACAATAACTTATGCTCTCATCAATTTGATGCCAAAAAACCCTCGGCCAGTCTCGTTGATTTTCTCTTGTTGATTTTTCTCATTGCAGTATAAGAACCTAGAAAAACCGTACCCTACAAATTGTACAAAGAGGAGCTTAAAAGCGTACACCAGCTACACTGTAGAGGGATGTTTTTTCGAATGCAAAGCGGAAATAATTACCAAGAAATGTGGCTGCCGGCTTTCAGGATACACAGGTATGAAGTAACTAAAACAAGAAACAGCAAATCACTGAGTAACACCCGAAAACCCAGTCGTTACAGCTAAAAAAGAAGATAGGAAAATAGAGGAAGAAAGAAAGAAAAAAGAATAGTAAAGAATACCGAAACATTAGGGCCATTTATACGAGGAAAAATAAGACGCGTCTTACATAAGACGCGTCTTAAATAAGACGCGAACTTTCCGTATAAACGGCACATTTCGTCTGAAATAAGACGCGGCTTAGCTAAGACGCGTCTTATTAGATAAGACATGCTCGTATAAATGGTACAGTTCGCGTCTTATTTAAGACGCGTCTTATTTTTCCTCGTATAAATGGCCCTATTGAGACAACAACAGCAAAAAAAAACTACAATTCCCCACTTCCACAATATCATTCCTACCTTTATCAGAGTGTAATTTGTCGGGTTTACAACACTCGGAAATTATCCTTTTTTCTTTGGCCCTGATTAACAAACAAGGGCACCCAACGACAATTTTCGGAAAAATACCTGTTCGGAAGACGATTTGAGATCTAGAATTTTCGGAACATTTGTTGTAAAATTTTTTGCTTGCCTGCCTCTCCTAGGATTTTCGAACATCTAAAAACTACTATAGTTGCCAATTTTTAACGGATTTTTACCCTTAAAAGGTCACCTAGAATTTTCGGGAGCCTTTTTCTGGCTAAAATTTTCGAAAAGGTAAGTTTTGATCCCCATAATTTTCGGATCACTAGACTTTCAGCTAGGAAATCCGAACAGATGAAAAAATTTTAGGGGATAAAAATATGCCTATATCTACCGTTTAAATACTAAAATACGTTTAACAATGCTATGTTTAAGTGGTTTTGAACTATATTCTCGTTGGGTGCCCCTGAACAAATATGAGCAAAATAAACTGAATACCGTTACTGGCTAGACAGTTTAATTTTTTTGTTACGTTCGTTTTTTTGTTTTGTTTTTCTTAATTAAGGTGCACCTGAACACGTCACTTGCACAACCGTGGAAGAATATTTGTGTGTTTACAAAATTCAGGGTAAGTAATCCGGTCTTTGGTTTCTGAAGGCTAGTAAACGTATCTCTAACGATAAAGGGCCTGGCTTTTGCAAAGATATTCAACCTTTTCTTACATTAGTTTTGTTTCTGTTGGCGTAAAGTGTGGGGATGACATATTTATACCGCATTTTAACGGGCTTTGATTTTCTGATTAGTAGATAGCCAAACAACTTCTTTTGATGCTCTTGTACTGATTTTTTTTCGGTGTTAATATATTTCTTTTTAAATTATATTTCATAAAAAAAAGAAACGGTTACCAAGAAGACGTGTGGATGTGAAGTTCCTTGTTACTATTCCAAATACAGCGCTGAAGTGAGCTATTCATACTTTCCTGATCCAGGCACTGCTGCTGCATTTATAAGACATGGTTATTATGGTGATCATCAATATCAGAGGTGATTTTTTATTGCTACAAATTATTGTCAAGTAATAGATACTGTGACAACCAAGCTATCTAGCATAACATAACATAACAAACCTAACGTAACATTATGCAACTTAACTCAACGTAACGTTAAATAACTAAATGTAACGTAATGCACTGTAACATAACGCAGGTCCACTTAACACATTATAACGAAAGCTAACAGAAAAAAATGAGATAACTTATATCGTAGAAATGACATAGGACTACATGTAAATGTGTAACATAAACACAAATAGGAATGGAAACATGAAATTTACAAATAAAACAGAAACAAATGCGACAACGTGAACTTAACTTGACTTAGCGTAAGGTTCATATTACCTAAAATTACAAAAAAATGTAATGGATATAACAATATAATGGTAAAAAGTGTTAAAATTAAAGGTATTAAATTTCATGTTGTCGTATTTTCGTATGTGTTTGTTTTCCCAGAGAAAATCTTGTCTATTTACAAGTGGGCTTCAAGACGATGAGCTATGACTTGCAGGAAGAACAGCCAGCTTATGATACAAATTCTTTATTTGGTATGCTATTTTATGTAATTACAAAAGTCTTGTTTATCTTCCCCACTTACAATTCTCGACTAGGGGCTAGTTAAGAAGAGAGACAAATGAAGAAATATATGTAAATAAATTCTCCACCCCGAAACGATAGGAGAATGGGTACAAGCTTTCGGCACAACAATGTCTGGGATCGTTTTGGTGGACCAATCATAACAAACGCTTGTGCACCCAAATGATCTCAGGAATTACTGCACCCAAAGCTGGCTTGAACCCATTCTTCCTACAGTGTCTAAAGGGTAAATAAATCCGTCATGGCATCATTTTATCCACAGAGTACACTCTTTTGTCAAGTAGTCAGGTGCAAGTCATCATATAGTTCACGAGTAGTGATGAGGGTATCTGAATCTCCATGCTTCTCTTTGTTTACAGGTGCTTCAGGATAGACTGCCATATACTCTTGTAATACAATGTCATTTCCTTTATTTCTTAGGTGAGATAGGAGGCAGCATGGGATTGTTCCTTGGATGTAGTCTGATAACTATCTGGGAGTGGCTGGACTTCATATTGACTCAAATATTCACAGCCAGAGAACGTCGCCTTGCACATCCAGCTTGATGTAAGCACGCACCGGAACGATTCATTATACTTTTCTTTTAATTTACATCGTGACATTTCTCATAGATTTCTTTTATTTGAAGTAAACGATTTTACTGTAAATTTCAAGAAATGTTGCTTTGCTATCTACAAACACACGAACTAAGAACTTGTTAAGTATGTTTCAACAAATTGAACAAAACAAGTTTACCGATAAACATTTTGGCTGAGTTTAAAAACGTCATGGATAAGGTTCAGAGAACCCTTTACCTACAAGTTTAAGACAATTAAAGCTTAAATTACAGGTGTTTTTAAAACTGCACAAGAATTACTCTGGTTGTTTGTAACGCAACGAAATTGACTTTCCTCTCTATTATTGGCATTCATTGTTCTTGATGCCATGATCATGGCATGAACTGAAAAAAGAGTTGTAGAGTAGTATAGTAGGGATCTTTTACTCCGTGTTTTTAAAGTGGAACCTTATCAGTTTAGAGTGGAATACATCAATGCAAATGACGTTATAGCCTTTTGTCTTAAATTCATGAAGAAAATGGGGCGTATCCCATTAACATAAGGTCATGTGCTATTCTTAGTTGGATTAACTTGTTTGACAAGTTTTAGATTGATTATGCGATAGTTTCTTTCATATAATGTGTATAATGCCCTTATTTGGTCTCGAAGCCATGTGTGACATAAAATCACTGAACCGTAACGTAATTAAGCGAGTTTTATTTCCCGCGGCTTTCATGTTCCATAAAAGACAACGAATTGTCCTGAATCCGCTTCACTGTTTCTTGACGTGCATGTCGTGCAGATTAATGAGCACAAAGGTAAAATGGCCTTTTCTAGCAATAAACACAACTTTTACTTACTCCACTCAGGTCTCCTTCTTTCTTCGCAGCACATTTATAGCATAACACTTCCAAACCTGCAAGGATGCACACGGTACCAAACTCCGCTGCACGGCCTGCAGTACCTTACGCATGCGCACAGCCATACTGGCCATACTGAGGTTTTGGTTGTGTTCTTCCTTGTAGTTTCGGTCTTCTTTGTAACATTAGTTGTCGTAGTTTTATCCAGAAATGTCTGAAGTCATGTTACACTTGACAAATGTGTTTGTGTGGCATTAGTTGCGCATGGTTTTACCCAGAAATTTCTGACGTCATGCTGCATGTATCAAATAACGCCTTTTCAGTGTTGCTAGGAAGGAGATAAGGAAGTCGAGAAACTCGAATATCGTTAACAAACTGCATCCCAAGAATAAGCCCATGTTGCCGCCGATCTCACCTACAACACCAAACAAAGGAAAAAATTATGGAAATAACTGTCAATTGGCGTATATCAGTCAATAAAAGATCAATAGCATCTCATCATTTTACTATGGAAGGTTGTCTCAGTGGTAAAGGATGCAATTGGTTGGACCGTGATAGAGACCTACCGCGCGCGGTCGTACCTCATGTGTTCATATGGATACTGTCGAATTTTTTTTCTCAAAATGGCAAAGTAAAAATGAATATAAATGTGACTTTGAAAAAAAATGTCAATGGTCTATTTAGATTAAATATGTTGCCTGGCTTTAGCTTTCGCAAAACCTTTGCAACACATACACAACATTGGCCTAATAAATAATAATAATATTTCTCAATAAAATTAACAACCGAATCATTTTACCAAACAGGGAGTTTCTGTCGTACGCAGGCTGCTCCTCCTGTAGCTCATAACTCAGCGACTTAAAACCAACTTGCAAAAGCACGAGGTTATCCCTAAAAAATAAGAGTAATGAACGTTATTTGGGTAAAACGTAAGGACTTAACTTCATTTGGTCTTCATCATCTGCATATCTATAAACCACATATAATCAGTCCCTCAATGACATAAGGATGAAGATGTGCATATGATGACGTGGTCTATGTTTTTTATTCTTTGTTCTTGTACAGGGAAAAAAAATATTAAACTGAGGTGTGTCTATGTTGTTATGTTATGATAAGAAGTAAATTTTGTTATGTTGCGATGAAGTTCATGAAATCATTATATTATGATTGGTTTTAACATCTGCAAATCTATATTTTTAAAGATAGGACAGGAATACCTCTGACACTTCTTGTTGTAGTGCTAAATTGAAAGAGTATTTACCTTTGATACTCAATGTCATCATAATAACCGTNAAAACCAACTTGCAAAAGCACGAGGTTATCCCTAAAAAATAAGAGTAATGAACGTTATTTGGGTAAAACGTAAGGACTTAACTTCATTTGGTCTTCATCATCTGCATATCTATAAACCACATATAATCAGTCCCTCAATGACATAAGGATGAAGATGTGCATATGATGACGTGGTCTATGTTTTTTATTCTTTGTTCTTGTACAGGGAAAAAAAATATTAAACTGAGGTGTGTCTATGTTGTTATGTTATGATAAGAAGTAAATTTTGTTATGTTGCGATGAAGTTCATGAAATCATTATATTATGATTGGTTTTAACATCTGCAAATCTATATTTTTAAAGATAGGACAGGAATACCTCTGACACTTCTTGTTGTAGTGCTAAATTGAAAGAGTATTTACCTTTGATACTCAATGTCATCATAATAACCGTCTTGAATAAACTTTTGAGCGGTGATACGGTTGGGAAACTTGGAGTAGGACACATCAGTGATGTATGTGATCTTTGAGCAGGGAACCTCACATCCACGCGAGTCTTCCTCTAAAGATGCTAGACAAAATAAAAGGATCTTTATACGATTCTGGGACTGACCTGCCACCCTACCCCTCCCCTTCTTCTAGTGTTATAACTATGGATGCCTGAGTTTCTCAAAATATTAAAATCATTAGCATCATTACAACTATTTACGTTATGAGGGCGAAAACGATGAGGAATCTAAGTCTTTAAATTTCATTACTATCACATGGCTATCGGATGACGTAATGTTAACTTACAATTTTGCATACCCATTAAGAATAAGCTGAACTGGACTTGAACTCGACTAAGTTCACTTGGTTTTAACTAATATATGTAATACATACCCGACACCTTTGCAAAGCAGTCCATTTCATCGGGTTTCAAGCAGTTATGAATATCTGGAGCTCCTAAAAACGAAACGAATGTGCATTGCTAACTAAATTTGTCCTGTGTACTAAATGAACACAAACAACGAACAAAAACGACAACAGCAGCAACAAGAAACAAAACCAACAGGAAATCCTTGATTGCCTACAAAAGGCCATAGTTTGGTCTATATAGTGATTTATCAGGATTGCCAGCAAACCAAGTGATTACCTACAGTAGGTGATCAATTATAATAACATGAGGAAGACTGTTTCATGCAATAAATAGAAACTGTAACATGCTTATGTACCTTTGTAATCTGAAGGTCGGCAATTGCATGATTTTATGATGTTTTCAGCTTCACATTCATAAAGACAGCCTTCTATTGTGTAGATGGAAAATGTTTTCAATGTTTTCATGGAGCAATTAGAGGCATATGGCTTTTCAAGATTTTTGTACTGAAAGAAAGAGCAAAACAAGAGGAAAAAACATTCACTACAACAAATGGTAACATTTGAGCACTACAACTGGCTTCTAACAAAGCATCCTGAAAAGAGCACCTTGGAACAACAAGCATGTGAATAAGCATATATTCAGTTTAGCTTCTGCAAAAGTGATCTGCAAATCAATGCGAAAAAAGATTGTATATATCTTTAATTATTTGTTACCCTTTTCTCTGTTAAAGCTATGATAACATGTTGTCCTGGTCCAACGTTGATTCCTTCCAATTCATCGATATACTCGCCTTGTCCATGAACGAGAACCTTGAATCCTTCTGAGAATTTCCCATAACTATATTCATCTGTCTGTGCATCAAGAATGACTGTCAATCCAGATGATACTCCACTACTGGTTACAGTTAACTTCCGACCGTAAGCACCCGAGTTAAAGGTGTAACACTTCCCCCATTGGGTTGTCGTGGAAACGAAATCTTTATCACAGCAATCCGTCTCACTCCAGTCATAATAGCACTCAGGTCCAAGGAGTTCACTGATATCTTGACCGTAGTATCTAAAGAAAGAGTCAATATCTGGGATATGACGACTTTGCTGCATAGCATCCAAAAGATCTTGTTTGTACCGACTCGTGCAGTTTGGTATTTCGGGGGCAACGTCTGCAAGTGCGCGTGGTGAACAGCAACAAAGCATAGCTAATCCGCATGGGAGAGTACCTCGAACCCTTGCAGTTACAGCGCAAGAGCTGATATTTAAGCCGCTCGACTTAAATACAGGGTTGTCATCTGTCATGAGTAATTTGCTTAAGTCAAACATGTTGCGAGAGCAGATCGTAACCGCTGGAAAGTCCATCTCATCAACGTGCTCACGCTTCAACACGGTATTGACTGGACGGTCGTAGTATTTCTGGAACGCTGTTCGAACTGTGTAAAGGTAGTAGGCACCAGAGATCAATACCAACACAGCCCAGATAAAGCGAACGAGAAAATGGCGTTCCATAAAGGCATAACGAATGCCATGTAGTGTTGTGTTGTCGACAAATTCTTTCACCATATATCTCGGAGACTGGGATTTAAGCCTAGAAGAAGCGTCCGGCTGGGAATGATATTCGCCGTCTGATAACTGTGTTATCTGTACACTGTTATCCCCTTCCATAATGTTGTATATTACACTGATCTTCAGAAAATCTGTTACTAACAATTAACTGAAAGGGAAAAAAGAATGCCCAACCTGGTCAGAATTCTCTTTGATACAGGTATCAGAGAGGTCATGGCCAAATTTCATTCATTTAGCAATTGAGCACTTTGCATCCCACCCTCGTTACTTTTTGAGGCTTTTTTGTGGTTTATTCTCAGTTATTTTCTACGCTTACGATTTACACCTTCTGTTATTGATTAACACACAGGACCCTTTGGAAGTGTGTTTAGATCCTAACCACAGGCCTCCCACTGCTCAGTGGACAGAGTTCCAAAGGAAATGGGAGGAGTGAGGATGCTAAATATTGCTTTCCTGGATATTACAGCTGCAAGCTTGTCGGTGTCTCCAGATAGTTTTTTCTTCGAGAATTCATTTAAAAATATTACGACGAAGCATTATACCCATTACTATTATGCATTATGAATACATAAGCATATTCGAAAGCTTTAAATTCTTAAACTGTGGTAAGCAAAGAAAATTGGGAATTTTAAGAAACTGACGAAAACTATGACTAACAGAACCCTCCCCTCACCATGACTATAGAAAAGCCAAAGTTTACCAAGATATCTAAGCTTTGGGTTGATTTATGCGTAAGGCATGTACCCCGCATCCAGGTAGATCAAGGTAAATATAACAAAAACAAGAACTAGCTCCTGCACCAAATTTAAAGTGATCTCTTTCTTTAACACCAAGCAACTGTAGTATTCTGCATAAACTACCTTCCAAAAATATTTTTGTTTCGAACTGATACTCACCCTGCCCTGCATAACGTGTTGAGCTGCTCTTGTGAAGCTCTTAAAAACACAGTTGCTGGCTGAACATTTAAGACATTAAAGCATATTATATAAATAAAATATAATGCTAAATCATTAAGAGTATTTTTAATACAACTTAACGCCATGTCAGTATGGCGTTGAGATTGGCGGATTTTAATTATCTGGCTGTTTCGACCAATGGGATTTCAAGCCAAATTAAGGCTATTGTTTTCCATAACAAGTAACTCGACTGGTGTATCATTAACATCTGTCAATACCTGTTACAGAAATGTTAAATTTTACTTACTATCCGTGATACACATCGAAAACGAAATTTTAATACAATCAGATTATTTTTAAAATTTGACTGAACATATTATGTCACTCCTCGGATCAATTTGGTCACAGAATTTGTATTTTAATTAAAAACCTTTCATCGATGATAATTAAAGAGGTAATATTTAGCTTTTCCAGATTACCATTTTCTTTAAATTTTGTGGCTATTCAACTAAATTTTATTCTAGATTTTAAGAAGAGTACGCCTTCGAAGCATTTACAGGGTATATTTGAAGAAGCATTAATTCTACAAGGGTACAGCTTTCTTGAAATTAGAAAAATTATTTTATGTCACAAAAGTCATTAGAAATATCGTTAAAACGATCCTTTTTTAGTGCTTAGCTGTCATTTGTTTCATACAATCAGTTGGAGGATTTCTTTGTTTACAGCCATTTTCATATAAGAAGTATTGTACGTTGAATTCTCACTCTTGAAAAGTAATGGAAGTGCACTATAGCTTTCTACTCATATAATTAGAAGCAAATAATCCAAGTAGAACATAACAGGATAAAAAAAAACCATGTAACTGGCAGGTCAGGAAACCAGTTGGCTGTTTATAAGCACGACCGAGGATTTAAATTCGGGACGGCCGAGAAACAAATTCAGCCTAGCTTGTGGTCGGAGCCGGACTCGTGTATCCAGGACCACCGGATTGTGAGTCTGACGCGCACTGCCGCTTGAGATTATTTTTAAAAAAGCATTCCAAATAGCTGTTTAATTTTGTCTTGGGGAACAATAGTACTCAAAAAGCAAACAACTCCCAAGGAGCACTACCTTTCACGCACTCATGTCCCGATTAATGATGGCCTTTGAGTTGTTGTCTGAGATGATGTCAAAAGGAGAGAGTGTAACGTTACTGTTAACAGATCCTGGACATGCAGTAACGTGGAGAAAGCGTACTGACTAAAAAAGCACTTTTTTATTAAGACTTCTAGTCTAGGATTGGGTATGCAGTTTAACTCTAATATGACTACGGAGTAGGAAAATTGAAGAACTTTCTGTGGTCTGAGACGAGTAAAGGGATTCCAAGACCTCAGCAGAACACCCCACCCACATTTTGTACGCCCCCCCGGACAAAAACATTGCGTAGACTAAGGAGAAATGGTTTACGTTTTAGCCTTTAAAATTTAATTCGGCTTATTTGTCTTAAAATCAATGCAGAATACAACCGCACGTTATAACGTTATAATATGTCGTTGATATCGTTGTTGTATAAAAGCTAGCACATTCCACAAGTGCGCATGCACTTGTGACTATTTTTCTTGCAAGATTGTTCGTATAATGCTGTAAACATACAATAGGTTCCTCACAAAATGAACGTCTGATGTTTGTTCCTCCTAAATATATATTAAAAAAATAACAATAAAGTAAAATAAGCAACCTCATTGACCTTGGACATGCAGCTCATTGGAGTTGGGCGATAAAAGAGGAAGCGTCATAAAAAAACTGAAGCCAAAAACTAAATAAATTTGTAAGCAAGCCATTCTGAAACGAGGTCAAGCTGTAATACCTTAATAACTTAAAATGTTATTGAAATAATAGTAAATACCAATCTGAGGTCAAATATATCTCGCATTTTTTAAATTTTATTTTACGTTATTTAGCTTCCCCTATCTAGAAAACAATATACTTATAGACATAAAATTATTTAGTAGCCGGGGAGACCACTACAGCCTATAGCCAATTATAGTGTCTTATATACAAAGTTTATGTCGGAGTCGCTGGGAGTTTTTATCATGATAAATGATGTGTATATTGACATACCAAGAGCTTTGAACAATCTTGCACCTTCGTCTTTTTCTTTAAAATCTTTGGCGGAAAGTGACATCGTCAAGGCATTAGATACCAAGCACACAGCGAGGATAAATACAATTATAACTCCTTTGATTCCAACCATTTTAGCTTGAGCCTATAACTTGAGTCTTTAACAGCTAAAACAGTGAATAGATAGAATTTAACCAAACCTAACAGTGGATCGAATGTCCATGACTTGAAAAAAATTTTTTGGCCAACAAAAGAGTATATCCTGAGCCCGACATTTCGTGAAAATATTTCTTGGAGTTGTCGGAAAGTTAGGTACCACTGACATTATTTAGCTGTAGGAAGTCTTGCCTTTCTTTCACTATTCTCTCCAGAAAAATACTTGTATAAGTAAAAAGTCAACATGAATAAATTTAACCTATCAATATCTCATAATCAATAGGCAGGATTCAAAGTTTGTAATTTTTCTAAACTACCGTCCGATTGACCAACCAAGGAACCAACGATATAATTAAAAAAAAGCCCTTGGGTGCACGAGTTTCCAATTATTGACCCCTTGACCTGAGCGTCAATGACTATCTAATAACAACCTCTAGATTAACAAGCCAACGATGTAATTGGAAAAGCAATTTGGTCTATGCGATTTTAATTTCTTTCTGCCTTTGACTATTCATTAATGGATTGAGCGACGAAGAAGCGATTTCGTAAAAACCGAGTACTTTGGCAAAAGATGCTAATTGTTATATGACTCGCTGACAAACTACGAGAGGACTTCAAATTTTCATGAATCGACAATTTTCTATCCTGAAAGGCGTAATTTCTTGATATTTTTGCGCAGCAACCATCAATCAGATTCTAAAGTTTGCCCGTTTGAAATGATGACTGGCGAATAACTCGACTTGGTTTTAAAATGGCTAAGTTTTGTTATAGTAAAAATACGCCTATAGCTGCCTGTGAGATATTTTTGGCAAAATTAAAGATTCAGATTAAAAAAAAAGCCAAAGGGAGTATCTTTTTGACATATAGCAAGACTCAATTGAGCTTCATTTGTGTATACTGTCGCCAAAATATTACGTATTAACTCGGTCAAATAATCGTAAAAACAAAACGAGATGTACCAGTGAAAAAAGGTATGGACATACCTTCTTGAGGATTTCTTACTTTCTCGAAGACAGTGAACAGCGTATTGGGCAGAAAGTGCTTTTTAATTTTTCTTTAATCTAACACACTAGAAGATTCGTTAACAAAATACAATTGCGATTGGTGTGATTGTAATAAGTACTTAAAATTTTGAGGTCAACGTGACGCTTAATTACCATTCTTAAAATTATATATCAAGTAATATTTTGCTTAGTCAATCGACAAAACAAAGTTAAACCAGGTGGTAAATGAAAGAAAGGGTTTTATTATTGTGCGTTTCTTTTTATCAAGATAAGTGGAGAACACATGTGCAATAATCAATAAACTTTTTTTATGGGAAGAAAAAGGAGACAGCCTGAGTTTCCATTCTCCTTGGGAATTTGAGATGTACGATCTTCCTTTAAGCAGACCGATTCAGTCATTTTCTGGGTATGTTCACGATGCGTGGAATGATGTAATAAACAATTAAGAAACTGTGGGTACTACTTCGTATTAAGAATGACTAATTTTTAATTACTTTTTTTTAGCACAGAATGTGCTTCCGAACGGTTTGTAGAGTGTGGCTTGTCCATCTTGGGCATACGATAAGCGTTTTTTTTTTTATCCTATGCACTGACGGCCGCGTATTACTGGAACGTTGCTTCCTACAGAAGATAATGGCGCAGAAATTCGGAAATTTTGTGGACTACTCATGGCCTAAACTTCAATAGGAGCCCATTGAAAATAGAGATGGAGATTGGATATTGGACTGAGCACACTCACATCAGAGGAATTCCTACTGGAATTACAGGGAACAAAACAACTGTTTTATGGAGGGACAAATACTGGGACAAAGAGTCAAGCCTTCCTTGAGCAGACTGACATAATTATATTGACCAAATAATTAACTAGGTCTCGAGATGCTAATAAAAGGTTATTTTCCTTGCCGCCTGGCACCTGTATAAAAAATCTAACATAATCCCCAACCAAACAACCGAGTAAGAAACTTAGTCTCTATTGACAATGACATTTTTTTCTTAGGGCATGCATGCTGTAAACCAAGAACGAAATCATCCACTGTAACAATGTAAGATCCATTCTATATGATACCTGTTCTCGAACATACAAAATGCAGGTCAGGACCAAACCACACCCAACGTTTTCTCTTCAGTGAAGCTATTTTCCTACGGTAGATTTTAAGTTAATGTTCAGGCAATTTTTTTTCCTCTTCTTCTACGATCACGTCCACTGATTTGAATTCTCAGAGCCGTTTGAATTCCCACAAACGTAAGATTGGAATAGAGTAAAGAAATTATTCAGATATAAATTACACCCAGTTTGAAGGTTTATGGACCACATATCATCGCAAAATGATAACATTGTTTATAGTTTTTCCGTTATCTAGGCCAGCCTCAGAAAGATCTGACGGTATTAGCTGATTAACGAACCAAAAAAAAATAGATTGGTTATATTTCTTTTTTTTTTTTTCCAAGAAAATAGCGAATAACGTAAAGAATATATATTTATGTATCATAACATCTACATGGCTTATCAGATCGGCTCTTAAGTCCCCTGAGAATTTCTGTGCGGTCTCAATAAACAACAGTTCTTGTAGACGAAGAATAGATCCTTGACTTGATTCGAACTCGGACAACTCGAATTCGCCGCTAAGTCGATTAAAATTTCTGGCTTTCCCTTGATCAAAATTTCACTAAAATTTACCCCGATAATTCGAAATCCTCGCTATCTCGGATTGTTTTTCATTTCCTCTCAGAGTTCGAGTAACCGGGGTTCTACTGTAATAATGATAAAAAATAATAATTACTTCAATTACATCGGTGTAGACAGTATTGTCTTCAATAGTCTGGCACAGGATGGATAAAAAGCGCCTAGGACTTCTAATGCTGTGGACAAGAGAAGGTATGCTCTGTAACCGTCAACTGACATAGTTCATGGAAGAATATCTGTTTATCTGCTTTAGTAAATGAAACAAACCAACCAACAAACAGACAAACAACAACATTATTTTGTAATCATATATTAATTACATTTTAAATACATTTCGAGACTTGATTCTGGAGACTCGACGTAAGGAACCTTTGTAACCTAATAGGACAATTGGCATTAACCTCGGATAACATATCTAAGATAAGTATTTAGTCTATTATAGTTCTATTACAGTGTCACATCATTATTTTTTTTTCAGTGTCAGTTTAAAGTACATAGAATATTCATAGCTATCACCTAGTTTTAAACTTGCATATTTACTATTCCTAACTTTCGGTTGACAGATCATTAAAATGTTTGATATAATTAAGTGCACTTAAAGTTGATATTACATGCAGTGCTGACATATATCGCAGTTGGAAGCGTATTATACAGACTAACATTGGTATATACGACAATGCATTTCTAAAGACAACAGAGGAACTTATTTGTTATGAGCGATAAGTGAGGGTATCCCAAAACCATCACAGCCACTGACTCATTCTTTTTCAATTGCTTGTTTGCTTACTCTTAATTTTAAAAAGAATTCATCATTTCGTTTCGGATGAAACATTTATGACCGCATTACTCAATAAACCTTATCTGGTATCCATTCACTGAGTGAAAAATCCATTCCGCTGTAACAGCGGAATGGATTTAAAACATCTGCAGAGGAAATTCAACCTCACACCTGTTAAATTTTTTCTAACGGTGATTTTACTTTGAGTAATAATTTTATTGGTGTGATACTTCTTGACAAAATCAACTTGTATCGTTTACGTTGCTTATTTATTGTTTATTATTTTTACTCTTTACAGAAACATTTTCAAATGGCAGCGTTCAAGAATTTGTTGTTTCTTCTCTTCATGTGTTGTGTGGTATGTCGAAGCCTGACAAAGCCTTTAAAAGTGGAAGAGGGGGCAGGTAACAAATCTCTCTCAAAAGGACATTTCTGGAAAGCTTTGCCGGCAGGTTGGTACTCAACTGATCACTCATTCAAATACTAACCGTATAATCAGTTAAAACTAACCAAGCAATCATATAATCGCTTTGCAAAAACAACTGCTATGAACAAGTTCATCATCATGAGGACTAATTCTGTTTTTCATTTTTACTACAGATGTTGTTTGCCTTTAGCAAGACGTTTTCACTTCTTCGTAAATTAAGAAAAAAATATAGTGTAGATTCCTTTAACGCTCTTTACAATCTCTAAATGATTTTCGTGAGTAATCTTCAGTTGAGTTAATTGTTTTGTTCTGTTAGTTCCTTGCACTTTAAAACTTAATCATTCTAAGGCGACAAAGACATTCTTTTAAAGTGAGTCGAGTCCATTTTCATTTATCCTTTAGCAAAAACGCGACGAGAGCCATGCGAGGACAAAAAGGATGCCTATTATTGTTTCTTTATCGCTGTAGTGGAGGATAACTGTGCCTCTGCAGGACATATATGCAGCTGGACTTGCGCACTGTGCAGTTAAACGTAATCTTGTGATGTAAAAAACTAAGATTGCTTTGGAGAGTCATAAGCAAATAAAAATCACTTCAGCGTTTAAGTCTGGTGTAAGAAACTAAGATACGCTTTCTTTTTTATTTACGGTCAGTCCATTAAGAGGCTAGCTCAGTTAAGGTTGAAATTTCCCTCGCTATATCTTCTTATTGGATAAACCCGCTTCGGGTCACAAAGGAAACGCTACCTGCCACCGACCTAATACCCAATAATCATGTTCTAAGAATAATCCATCATTACGTGAATTTGTTGTATTAACAGTTCGTCGTTAGCCTTGAACTAGAGCTTCCCGTCACTGTACCGAAGTGACTGGTGTGATGTTGGTACGTTTGCACAATTTTGCTGCCACTACACTGCACAGGAACTCGATAAACTCACAGAGTGTCAGAACGCTGCAGCCAAGGAGCAAACCCATGTTACCTCCAATCTCACCTGGTACTCAACAGAGAAAAAAAAAGGAACGAAAAAAACAAAAAAACAAAAACAAAAACAAACACAAATTAGTTGGCTCGAAAATGACAAACT